GGGGGGTCTTACATTTATTTATTTATTGTTTTATTTTATTTTGGTTTCTTTTATTTTACTGTAATTTATTTTATTCTTATTTTGAGATGTCTATTTTATTGTAATGAGAGAGAAAAATAAAGTGTATGGATTTTGGTCTGAGGGAAAGTGGGGAGGGACTGAGAGAAATTTGGTGATAAAAACCATAATAAGGACATATTGTATGAATTAAAACTATTTTTACATTCCAGGATATCCCTGTCAAAATGCCTAAGAACAATAATACAAGTTACATATCATTCTGGCAAGGATATGGAAAAGAAAAACACTCTTCTATTTGTGATGAGGATGCAAACTTGTACAATCGCTATAAAAATATGTATGCTTTTTGCTCTCAAATATGGGAATCAAGATGCCTCAAGATACTGCTTTACCGACTGCCTACAGATTGGGAAAGAAACATCACCAACCCTTTATCTGACAAAGGACTCATATCCAATATACATAAAGAACTAAACAAGCTGAAATGCAACAAACCAAGTAATCCACTTAAAAAATGGGGAACAGAGCTAAAGAGAGAATTCTCTGTAGAGGAATATCGAATGGCAGAGAAGCACTTAAAGAAATGCTCAACCTCATTAGCCATTAGGGAAATGCAAATCAAAACAACCCTGAGATTTCACCTTACACCCATCAGAATGGCCAAGATGAAAAACTCAAGGGACAACACATGCTGGAGAGGTTGTGAAGAAAGGGGAACCCTTCTCCACTGCTGGTGGGAATGTAAACTGGTACAACCACTCTGGAAATCAATCTGGTGCTTTCTCAGACAACTAGGAATAGCACTTCCTCAAGATCCAGCCATACCACTCCTAGGCATATACCCAAAAGAGGCTCAAGTACACAGAAAGGACATTTGCTCAACCATGTTTGTAGCAGCTTTATTTGTAATAGCCAGAAGCTGGAAACAACCCAGATGCCCCTCAACTGAAGAATGGATGCAGAAACTGTGGTACATCTATACAATGGAGTATTACTCAGCAATGAAAAATAAGGAAATCATGAATTTGCAGGTAAATGGTGGGACCTGGAAAGGATCATCCTGAGTGAGTTGTCCCAGAAGCAAAAAGACACTCATGGTATATACTCACTCATATAAACATACAACATAGAATAAACCCACTAAAATCTGTACATCTAAACAAAGTAAGCAAAAGAGAGGACCCTAACTAAAATGTTCAATCCCCATCCTGAAAGGCAAAGAGGATGGACTTCAGAAGAAAAAGAAAATAGGAAACAACCTCGGAACCTGTTACAGAGGGCCTCTGAAAGCCAGAAGAAAACAGGAAACAACCTTGGAACCTGCCACAGAGGGCCTCTGAAAGCCTCTGCAGTATAGACTATTAAAGCAGATGCTGAGCCTGATGGCCAACTGATGGGCAGAGTGAATGGAATTTTATGTAAGAAGTGGGAAATAGTAAGAGCTGGAGGGGACGGGAACTCCACAAGCAGAGCAACAGAACAAGAAAATTTGAACACAGGGAATTTCCCAGAGACTCATACTCCAACCAAGGACTATTCGTGGAGATAACCCAGAACCCCTGCACAGATGTAGCCCATGGCAGTTCAGTGTCCAAGTGGGTTACATAGTAATGGGACATTACTGCCTCTGACATAATCTGATTGGCCTGCTCTTTGATCACCTCCCCCTGAGGGGGGAGCAGCCTTACCAGGCCACAGTAGAGGACAATGCAGCCACTTTTGATGAGAACTGATAGACTAAGATCAGAAAGGAGAGGAGAACCTCCCCTATCAGTGGACTTGGGGAGTGGCATGCATGCAGAAAGGGGAGGGAGGGTGGGATCGGCAGGGGAGGAGGGAGGGGCTTATGGGGGGATACAAAATGAATAAAGTGTAATTAATAAAATAAAATAAAATAAAAAAATTTGTAAATGTAAAATCTAAGTTCAAGTGAACTGCTTACTTATGCACATCAAGTTTGCCCATAAATGTGACAAACTAAAAAAAAAAAAAAAAAAGATACTACTTTACCATTTTTGGTAATTTATCCAGTGATGCTTCATCCTACCACAAATGTATGTGACTAAACATGTTCATTGCTACTCTGTTCACAAAATCCAGAAACTGGAACAAACCTATATGTCCCTCATCAGAAAAATGAGTTAAGCAAACATGATACATTTATATAATGGTGGATTGTGATTCAGCTGTTAAAATGACATACTGAAATCTTCAGGCAAATAAATGGAAATAGAAAAAATTATGCCAAGTGAGGTAAGGAAGACCCAGAAAGGTAAATACAGCAAGTATTTGCTTATTTCTCTGTATTAGCTCTTAAATAAATGATAACAAAACTATATTTTATAGAAACAGAGTTGTCAGGCATAGAGGAAGGGACTAGATCACATGGATCTCTTTGGGAGGGTTAAATAAAATAGATTTTATGAATGAACTACAGACAGAGGGGTTGATAATAGGAAAAACAGGTGGGAATGAGGTAAGATGAAATTGAGGGAGGGAAAGACAACAAATACAGCTAGAAATGAAGGGCATTTGAGGGTCAATATGAAAACTTAGTGCAGTGGAAACGCTGTGTAAAATTTGAAGGTGGGGCTGGAGAGATGGCTCAGTGGTTAAGAGCACTGCCTGCTCTTCAAAAGGACACGGGTTCAATTTCCACATGGCAGTAGGCAACTGTCTGTAAATCCAAGGGATCTGATACCTTCACACCAATACATATAAAATAAAGTTAAATAAATAAAAATATTTAAAAAAATTGAAGGTGGTACTAATGAAGACTCCAAATAATGGAGGAGAGAGAAACTCAATTGGGCACCTCTTGTCAACAAATGAGGCTTCCAGTACTGAGACTGAGTTTCATAAATTTGAGTAGTTGTCTAAACAGGTGTCATGGTAATCCCCCCAATAGTCCAGGCTATAGCCAAGACATTAGGTTGCTCTGCACAAAATGACAAGGCCCCCTTCTGAAGACAACACACAGAACATAACAACTCATTGAACATAGTGAAAGAAAATGGTGCTACATGTAACCTTCAACCCCCTGTTACACCATAACACATAGACATGCTCTGTAGGCTGCCAAAAGCTAAGCAAAAACACAACCCCAGCCACAAGGTTTTCATCGACATTTAGTCCTATCCACAAAATATGCTTGGGTAATGATAGCACAAACCTTGAAGAAATATCCAGTCTATGTCTAATTTGACTTAAGGTCAAGTCCGTGAGATTGGACCCATTCTGGTTAATACTTGAGTAATCAAGAACCAGAGACTAGATAGTCCAGGGACCTTGGGTAATACGAATACTACTGGTTTAAAAAATGATTCCTATGCCTTTAATATCAGCACTCAGGGAGGCAAAGACAGATGGATCACTGTGAGTTTGAGGCAAGCCTGGTCTACAAAGTGAGATCATGACAGCCACAGCCACACAGAGAAACCCTGTCTGAAAAAACCAAAAACATGAAAAAGAGTATAAGCCTACTAAAGATACACTAAGAATGAACACAGGATTTGTACTGGCAATGGGGAGTAAGTGATGGAGGTGGTAGATCCAGGTTCCTATTCTCACTGTACTTGAAAATTCAGGAAGTCCTATTCAGAGGATCCTTTTCAGGCACTTTGGAATTTTGAGGTGAGTTACTCTGGAATTTGTTTATTTTTTTCCAGCTCACTCAGCATTAAAATACAATTCATTTTCATCCACTAAAACAACAACAGCAGCAAAGTCCTAAGTATATTCTGCTGTACTCATAAATCAGTGCATTACTCAGGTACCATCATAAAGGTTTACTCTTTTACTTCTGCAGCCAAAGGGACAGACATTGTGCAGAAAAAAAGAGACCTTGGAACACACAGTTCTAAGTCAAATGTCTCTATCTATTCCCTGCTTTCAGAGATGTTCCTCCCAGGAACCCCACAGAAGATGAGGCAGAAGGAACAAGAGGAGAGAGAAGACAGCAGAAGAAAATGCTCTCTATGACAAATAAGTAACACCTATACAAACACACAGAGCAGGATTCACAGGGTCTACAAGAGGACTGCCTTAGGTCCTCTGTATAAACTCCTTAGCTTTCTGCTTAGTACTTTTATTAGACTCCTGAATGTGCAAACAGCTGAACCTCTGATTATTGTGTGCTTTCTTGGGGCTTTTGGTTTTCGCCTGTCTTGTCTTCTCCAACTTTGATACTAGGGTTTTTGTTTTATCTTATATTTTATTTTGTTATGTTCTGTTGTTATCTCTTAGAAACCTGTACTTTTCTTATGAGAGAGGGATGACCAGTAGACCTTTGATAAGAGAGGAGGTGGAAAGGAACATAGAGAAGTGGAGGAATGAGAAATATATTCAGAATATAATGTGTGAGAAAAGAACTTATGTTTGGTTAAAGAGAAACAAAGATTTAAAAAGAACACATATGAAATATTGTATTTTTCGTAAAACAAAGAAACATAATAATGATAGTGATAAAATATATGTACTGTGCAAATTAAACCCAACTCTTCAGTCACTTACTGTGGAAAAACCAACCAAATAAAACAACAACAAATATAAAAACAAAATTAAAAAAAAACAACAACAACAAAAACTTGTACTAGGTATAATCCTAAGAGAGTTTATGGGACTTTATGGGAATTCTACATGTGACTGTGGATGGCAAGAAACATAAAGCATGAAAACATAAAGAAATAGTACTCAAAACATTGTAACCTTGGTGAAATAAAGAGAGTGTTGTTAGTTTTAAGGCAAGACAGGTCTTTTTAGGGAACAATACCTGCAATGGGTCAACAAAATAAGTCAAGAATGCTTTCAATGTGTAGAGTGTGTCCTTTCAAAAAAGAATTAAAAGTAAGAGCAATGATTAAATTTCTAGTTAAAGAACACAAGTTTATCTCTTACTTTTCTCCAATCCTTTTCCATTTGTGTAAGTATTGCAGACTCCTATGGGCAAGTTGGAAAATTTTCTGTAAGCCTATATTTACCTGTATCATTGGAAATCTCATTGTCTGCACAAGGAATGCAATCAAAGCAGCAGACAGCTTTGCCTTCCTGGGCAGCTTTCCTGAATCCAGGCCTGCAGCTCTCACTGCACACTGACTGAGGAATCTGAGAGAAATGAAATCTATTAGCAAATGCTTAGACTTTTGTGAATAATACAAGTAAACAGAATATTTCTGAGAATTATTGAACAATCAAATTTGATAATGGTTACACTTATAATTAAACATAATGGAGTTTGGTATTATTAATTTTTGCAGCTTTGGGGCTACACAGCTCACATGTTTTCATTTTAGTCCAATACATGAAGCTGTTGTTAAAAGTAGCTCATTAAAGTAGTGTACTAGAATATGATTGTATGACTTCAGAGTCAACCTGTTTCTATACTTACTGGCTGCTAGGGGAGCTTTTATATCCAATGTGGTTGTGAATGTTGATTGACAATTTTACAGGGCTTGGATTCATCTTGTAAAGAAGTCATGCATTTCTCTAAAAAGCTTTACAGAACAATTTACCTGATGTGGAAAGAGCCACCACAAAATGCTCATCAGTATTTCACTGGCTATTGTCATAGACAAAATGAAATGGAAACACAAGCTGGGCAACCACACTTTTTGATCTCTGATTCTGGTCTCTGAATTTGATGCCTTTACTTACCTGGCTCCTAACATAGTCGTTCCAACCATGATATACTGCATGGTCACAGTGTCAGCTAAAACACACCTGTCCTCCCTTCTGAATTAGCAAAGCACATAACACACACACACACACACACACACACACACTCACACACACAAACACACACCAGATTGTCAGAGTCTGATAACATATCAGTGGAATTGGGGAGTGGCATGCATGCAGAAAGGGGAGGGAGGGTGGGATCGGGAGGGGAGGAGGGAGGGGCTTATGGGGGGATACAAAATGAATAAAGTGTAATTAATAAAAAAATAAAAAAAATAAAACAAACAAACAAAATGATAGCTCATTGTTTTTAAAATTTCTTCATCTGGCTGACCAAATAAACCTTTCTGTGTTTTGAGGCAATTAGAGAAATTTAACAGATACTCTACTCATAAAAATTGCAGGGGCATTAATAAAATTTAAAAATAAACTTTTCCATTGATAAGAGCCAGAAAATGATAAAATTTTCTGTATTGGTGCCTTTTTTTGTGAAGTTCTTTATTTGTAGTTATTTGATTGGTACTAAATGAGAGTGCAAGGATCATCACATCCTGAGAATTATTTTTGTTAAAAGGTCAACCAGTGAGGTAACTCATAACTCACCTTTATAAATCTAGTAGGCCATTGTATCATCGGCTCAGATAAAGAGAACTGTTGACCCTGTGGAGCATTTGCAGAAAAGCTTCCTACTTTCACTTTTAATCCAAGACCCTTTGGAAAATTCCAAAAATTGTGAATGTCATACTCAGAATCTATGTTTCTTCTTCCATCCATTATAGTGTGTCCTCTCACATGTGTTTTTGTTACGTAGTTCTTTAGGAAAGGGAGGAGCTAAAGGAGATACACAAACATATGTTGAAGTATACCTGCGATTCTAAAAACACTTCTTTAGAAAAATTAAAAACATTTTAAAAATTATGTCAGATGGAACAATCATATCAACTGGAAACTCTGAATGTCATTTAGCCAGCACAGTTGTTTGTCACAGTTCCACTTTAGCTGAGCTGAATGCTGTGATCACTGTGATTCTGTCTCTCCCTTTTTGGTTTTGGTACCTACATGTTGCATTCTTGGGGAATTTTTGCATAATGATTCATTTTAAGTCTTTTTCTGAGAGAATTATGTCTGAGTCTTCAGTGAAGTCATCAGCATACTATTCCTTTTGATTTTAACTAAATAACTTCATCTGGCCCTATTTGGATGTCTTCCTTATGCTCTGGAGGTCATGATAAGCACAGATAAGCACAAAGCTAAGAATTTATAAATCAGCCCATGACTGCATGGTTCTTCTTGGGGTATTCAACCCTATGCAAACTCAAACAGTGCAATTGGAACAGGGTAAACTTAGAAATATTTGACAAACTATAAGTGGACAGCAGAACTGCTACTAGATTCAAGGCTTCTTTATATAATATACTTAGAGATTTCTAAAATTGTAGTTTAAAGATAGGGCCTCACACACAGGTACCTCTGAAGGAATAGACTACAGTAAATAAGATAGATTTACTTAAAGACCCTTTTCCTACTTAGCAACATAAATGATAAAATGATATAAATAAAAGTTAGATATTATAAGTATTTGCTATTCATAAAAAGACCAGATTTGGTCTTTGCATGTAGAGCACTTTTTAATTTTTTAATTAATTATTTTAACAATTTATTCACTTTGTATCCCTCTGCAGATGCCTCCCTCATTTCCTCTCCCAGTCCTGCCCTCCTTCTTCTCCCTATATGCCCTTTCTGTAGTCCCCTGAAAGGGAGGACTTCCTCCCCCTTTATCTGACTCTACCTTATCAGGTCTCTTTAAGGCTGGGTGCATCAGCTTCCTCTGTAGCCTGGCAAGGCTGTGCTCTCCAGGGTTAGGTGATCAAAGAGTAGGCCACTGAGTTCATGTCCCCTGTACCTCTTACTAGGGTCCCCATTTAGCCTTAAAACCGCTATTAATGCCTCTCTAAAAGCAAGCTCTCTTATAATGAATGTGTTCTGTTTGGCAGAGACATTCATTAAATTCTTTGAATTGGAATAATATGGCTCAGGTAAAAATTAAGTACATTCTATTTGTACTTTAGATATGCTTGAACTTGTAACCCCAGAAATGAAATGAAAAATCTAACACATATTTGGAGACACAGTGATACAATTTGTACTTCTTTGTTCTGTGAAAATTGTATAAATAAAGAAAAAACTGATTGCTAGTTAGAGCTATGAGAGTTCTGGACCATCACACCTGACTCACTCCTCCATCTCCGACTACTTATTTATGCTTGGGGAACTGTGTCAACTGGATGGCCAGGCCTCTGTAACTCTGCTTTTAAGCCCTCATGAGTTAAAGGAGGCATCAATGTGCCTGGGTAAATAAGCTATACTTGGATTGAAAAGCATTAAATTTCAAAAATCTCATTTTGTTCAAAAGAAATCAATGACCTAAACACACCTAAGACACGAAGACAAGTTATGTGGATTCAGATGATTCAAATTTGTGTGAAAAGATAACCACATGATTAAATTCTGGAACATGTTCAGAGTTTCCATGCATAAAATGAGGACCCCAAATATAAAAATGCACTATAAAGTGAGCCTTAACTTTATAACCATGTGATAATTCTCATAAGCATCTTATGCCCTAAGTATCTATTAGTCCTACTTCTGTTCTGAGAAATACATATGAGAAATTTCAACTTTTAACAATGAAGTGATTATGAAGAAAAGTGTGTGGCAACTTGTTATATGAACTTAATAATGACCTAATAGGTATTTTTTACTGTTTTTTTTTCACACCATATATAAAGACCACTTTTTTCATTGACAAGGAAACAAATATTGCTTATGGACAACATATTCGAAAATTTATGATGCCCAATTGGAGTGCCTTAGAAAGTAATAAAAATGTCACATTGCAGGTAACACAATACACGGGAAGGTGTATTACCTGCCAAGGGAAGAATGTCATTTTTTCTCCATTAGCATATGGTTGTGTGTGCATTTGCTGAAGAATCATCTCATGGAGACTGTAGGCCACAGCATACACAGCATTGTATATATTGTAGCCCTCATTACTCATAGCTGGGTCGAAAAGGTGTCTGGGCAGTAAGTCCAAAGAAGCATTGGGTTGGCAGTTCTCTAAAAGTTGACAATCAGACTCAGAGAATGAGCACTTGAAGAACAAATACCAAAACTTAGGAAGATAATTGTCTTCTGGGTATTTGTAGGGATTAACTGTTTGAATAAAATTCCTATACTCAACCATCTCTTTATGGTGGTGTAAAAAAATGAAACTCCCATGAAATGACTCTACCATGAAATAATCAGAATAGTGGTCAGCATCCCATGGAGAATTCAAGATCCAGACTTTCCATGTCACTAAGAGTTGTCCAATGTGTCGCATTAAACCTTGCAAAGAAACAGTGTCCCCATACATAACAATCACGTTTGCTGATGATTCCTGAATATTCTCCAGATTTCTCCATAATTCATTGGAAAATGAATTCCACATGCCAGGGATCATTTTCAAAAAACCTATGCAGATGCTATTTTTCTCCATATCTTCTCTCAAGTCTGATAGTATCTGAGTTCCTCTGTGGTCATCTGGGAGGATTAGACCAACCCAGGACCAGCTGAAATGAACCATCAAAGAGACTATGGCCAGAGACAGAGCTGTGTCTTTGGGGCTCATCTGATAGAGAAAATTAAACCGACCTTCGTCACTCAAGGTAGAATCAAAAGGCCCAAAGGTGAGCTGGAGTGAAAACAAAAATGAAAAGCAGAGAAAGAACATTGGCATCAAACAAAATCTCACTTTTGAATCAACAGATGGAAAATAATAAAGATAAACATGGGTTTGTCACATTTTAAAGTGGAAATGTATTATAGACTTTTCCACAAAAATGCTGACAGGACTCCAGTTTAAATAACCTAGCTCGCCTCATCCACCTCTTCATCCTTTCTCTTTCAAGTAATGAAAATGTGCATTTATCATCAAGTAACTTCATGTTTTCTTTTGATATCTGAATAATTCAGTTTCCCTCTATTTTACATTTTCTTGGCATCTATAATGTCAACAAAAAATACTCTATTTTTAGTTCCTGTGCCCAAGCCCTCACCTGAGGTATTTTGTAGAGTTGTAGCAGAGTCCCAATGTAGGCAGATGTTGCCCATGATGATCCTGTGAGGGCAGCAACTGATTTTCTCTTCTGTTCACAGTTGAAATTAGCAAGGGGAACACTCATGTTTGTGAGCCAAAGAATGGCATTATAAAGAATATTCCTTTCAGTAAATGGGACATTATAGAGATCAAAGCCAAGAGTTGTATTGGGTAGAAGATAAGGATTTTTGTTGATCTCCTCAATTGCAAAAACCAGAGCGAGAACAAATTCATAATGCTTAAACTTATACCTGTATAGATTTCACAAAATTACACAGGAGGAAGACATAGACTATACAACTTTCATACTTAGGGCAGTATATTGCCCTAAGTATGAAAGTATGAGGTCCCTTAAAGCTTTTCCCCTCCAACCCCTAAAACTAAGTAGGAGAGAGAAGGTCAGTGGGGAAAGGGTATGCAGATCCCTTTACTTTTCCTGACTGTTTTCATTTGATGGGTTCTTTTAGGGGTATACCCGTCACTGTCAACAGCAAATACAGCAAGCAGTCTCTTCTAAGCTGCTGTTCTCTGAAGTATTTCTCTCTGTCTGTCTACTCCAAATGACCACACCATCTGTCTCTGATCTCTCCAAACTGCCACTCACATGTGACCACTGCATGTCACACCTCCTCCTTCTAGGCTTTCAACTTTATAGCCTCAGAATGTCCTCCAGAGCCAGCTATACCACTTCCAGGCATATAAAAAAAAAGATGCTATATCATACCACAGGGAAATTTGTTCAGTTATGCCCATAGTAGCTTTATTTGTAAGTAGCCAGAAACTGGAGAAAACCTAGATGACCCTCACCCAAAGAATTGATAAAGAAAATTCCAATGGAATATTATTCAACTATTAAAACAAAGACATCATGCAATGTGAACATAATGGATGGGACTAGAAAATATCATCTTGAGTGATGTTATCCAGACCCAGAAAGACACACATGGCTTGTATTTACTTATAAGTTGATATTAGCCATAAAGTACAGGCTAACCAGGCTACAATTCACAGACCCAGATTAGTGAAGGGAGGGTACATGGGAGGATGCTTGAATCTCATTCAGAAAGGGAAATAAAACCGACATCTGATCATCCTGAGAGAGTTATCCCAGAAGCAGAAAGACACAGACAGTATATACTCACTTGTAAGTGGATATTAGACATATAATAAAGGATAATCATACTAAAATCTGTACACCTCCCATTCTCTAAGAAGAAAATGGTGGAATGGTTAGAGTGGGGTGTGAGTTTGGGATTGGGAAAAGATGAAGGAAGGGGCTGGGATAAGGCTCTAAATTGATTTAAAAAACCAAATAAATAAATGAGAAAAAATAAAATTAGAAAATACTTCATGAATTATTTACTTATTCAATTAGAACAGATTGTTATGTCCCATTCTCAGACCGCAAAGACCACCAAGGAGCAATTCTGATGCAAACTCAGTAGAGCCTTTATTACAAGCTCAAGGACCAAATATATCAGGGCACAGGGTTCCTTTATAAGACTGTTTCTCCATGTACGGATATAACCTAGAACTCCTGCTCAGATGTAGCCCATATACTGAAATCTTAACACTGAAAATATTCAAATCATCTGGCATTGCAAGCTTGACAAAAGGAGATAATGAAAAGCCAACGTTATATGAGGCAAGTAAAATGAATAAAGTCAAAATTATTGGCTGTTTTTGGAAAGAAGAAAAGAACACATGAAAATATATACAAAAGTGATTTGAGAATGAAAAGAGAGATTGTGAATAACCCAGGGAAGTTTTAATCAATACATCCTTTAAGTAAAAAGAATTCTGAAATTTTAATGAATAATTGTACTTACTGTATACGAAGGTCTCCAAAATGGTATGGCAAAAAGTGATGAGGAATGTTGCTGCCTGTGTAAAAAAGATGAAGAGGGAAAAATGCAGTAATCTTCACATCTCCTTCATGGTGAAAAAAATCTGTGATTCTTACAAAGCATTCATTGTCAGTAAAGTTATACCCGAAATTCAGAATATACAGGAGCACTAAGAAAAAAACCCAGAACATCCTATTAACACACATATATGCCCAGGCATAAGACTAGTGGATTCAGATTTAATGATGATAAGCAGGTATATATTCAGCTCAAGTGTTTGTGAACAAGTTAGCTTCTAACTCTGTTAATGACTGTAGGTGACACTGATCACCCTAAGCTCTTCATAGTCCTTTCTTCCTTGACATTGAGGATTCTGAAACTCTGTCTTCCCTTAGGCTTTGCATCTGAGGCCCTGTGTTCTGAATAAAAACAAGTTGGATAATATGTTTTGGATCTTCTTCCCTAGCCACAGGCATCATGATTTGAGCCATGAACACAGCAGGACAGTAGTGATCAATTTTCTCATGGGGCTCTTTTAGCCAAATCTGAAGCAAGAAACTTTTTTCATATGATGACAGCTGTGGTTGATGAAAACCTGTTGCATCAAAGATTGCCATTGTAGGTAAATTGCAAGAAGTCCTGAACTTCCCCTTGCCATTTATGCAGAGCCAAGATTAATTGTACCATGCTTTTTTAACAAAAGACAATCATTGGATTCTCCACTTCCTACTAACAGTAATGTCTCAGAATTTTCTTCTCTGATGTATTTACATCTGCAGAAAAATAAGGTGCCTGTACCCAACACAATCAGCCCATTGATCACTTCGGAAATTTCAATAGTCATGCTGCCTTCCTCACTTTAAAAAGAGAGGACCCTAACTAAAATGCTCAATCCCCATCCTGAAAGGCAAAGAGGACGGACATCAGAAGAAAAAGAAAACAGGAAACAACCTAGGAACCTGCTACAGAGGGCCTCTGAAAGCCAGAAGAAGAAAACAGGAAACAACCTGGGAACCTGCCACAGAGGGCCTCTGAAAGCCTCTGCCCTGCAGACTATCAAAGCAGATGCTGAGCCTGATGGCCAACTGTCCGGCAGAGTGAATGGAATTTTATGTAAGAAGTGGGAAATAGCAAGAGCTGGAGAGGACAGGAACTCCACAAGGAGAGCAACAGAACAAGAAAATTTAAACACAGGGAACTTCCCAGAGACTCATACTCCAACCAAGGACTATTCATGGAGATAACCTAGAACCCCTGCACAGATGTAGCCCATGGCAGTTCAGTTTCCAAGTGGGTTATCTAGTAATGGGAAGAGGGACTGCCTCTGACATAATCTGATTGGCCTGCTCTTTGATCATCTCTCCCTAAGGGGGAAGCAGCCTTACCAGGCCACAGAAGATGACAATGCAGCCACTTCTGATGAGAACTGATAGTCTAAGATCAGAAAGAAGGAGAGGAAGACCTCCCCTATCAGTGGGCTTGGGGAGGGGCATGCATGCACTTAGGGGAGGAAGGGTGGGATCGGGAGGGGAGGAGGGAGGGGCTTATGGGGGGTACAAAATGAATAAAGTGTAATTAATAATAATAATAAATATTTAAAAAAATTATCTGCTTATTTCAGTGGAAAAATCAAGTTTCCTCTTTACATTATGGGACTGGAACTTTTCCAGTCCTGTTCTTTCTTTTTTTTCTGGGTTAATCACTGAATATAGGTGTTGTTGTGATACATCCATGCATCCAGAGCAGTGTGTTCTGCTCTGAAATCATTAGGGTATGTGAGAAATCCTTCTTGGTTCTCTAAAACTTACAATAATTTAAAGGCATCTTAGTGTGTCCTTTCGCCTAATATAATGAGGGAAGCTATCCTGAGCAGTGCTCTATTTCTTTGCTACTAGAAGTTCAGAACAATGAATGTACTATGTATTCTGTTACTGTAATAAATGGATGCTCTCCAAAATAAGTTGATGACCCCAAGAAAGGGTGGGTGAGTAGAGTGAACAAAACCCCAAATGGAACAACAATTAAAATAAGAAATGTTAACAGGAGAAACTATAGCTTGTTGGGAAGTTCTTTTTTGTTTCAGATTAACAATATGCAATGAGAATATAATAGTCAGAATCTATCTATTATAAGACGGTATGCAATAAAAAAGACACAGGAAAACCTGCTGCTCAGGAAATCACAGTTCAGTGCAATCGTGGGTAATAGTGCAACTGTGTGTCAATCAACTGAAAGTTGCTCCTTCCTTAGAGTGCCAAATCTGCAGAACAGAAAGTTCATTGTTAATGTCTTCAACAAGATTTTTTATACAGGATAACCATAAGCCATAAAGATATGGGTTTCAGGGAATGTCCTGGTAACAAGACTAGGCATTTATTAAATTCTTTTTATTTCTTGGTATTTTCTGACAAAATAAATCATTGTTACACTGTCTCTGCATTGTTGATATAGATGTCATAGTCTAAGAAAAAGCATAAGATATAGTAAACTAGTTTCTCAACTTGTATTTAAGTTGTCTGTATTCTTAAACTTGTATTTAAGGATAAATATTGAAGAAATATGTTAGTTAAATAGTTAAAAATAAGCTAGTAAACAGATGATATTGACTGTGAGATATTGATTGTGTTCTGATGCTTGTGTCCTGACTTTTCATTTATTTATTATTTATACATATTCTGCCTTCATTGTGTGCCTGCATGCCAGAAGAGATTTCATTATAGATACTTATGAGTCAGCATGTGGTTGTTAGAAATTGAACTCAGAAACGTTGGAAGAAGAGCCAGTGCTCTTAACCTCTGAACCATCCCACTAGCTCCTGTCCTGACTTTTAAGGTGTAACTCTACTCGCTGAGTCCCATGGTCTTGTGTCTAGCAAGCAGTGCAGACTATGTTATCACTACGCTCACTTTTATATCTGTCAATTTCTGAGTTATGAGAGTAAAGTTCAAAATTTTAAATCTTCTCAACTTTTATTTATCTGCAGGCTGTGTTTATCACTCAACCACCCACCCTGTAGAAGCTATAATTGGGAATTTGTAAGCCCAGAGTCCCAGATACCTGCAAGTAGCCTTTCTAGCAGTCTATAATCTCCTTATCCATATTGGAGAACAAGGACCACGCCACACTGCTAAAGGAAATGTTTGGAGATGCTTTTTCCTAACTCTTGAAAGCACTGGGCTGTAGCCTTGTAAAAGAAGACCTCAACTGATGTTGTAATCTCAACTGTCAGACAGAGTAAATCAAGACCTCAGCACTGTTGTTGGAGAGTGACTCAGCAATTATAGTCACGGCTGCTCCTTGAGAAGACTTGGCATGTGAAGTGGCTCACAACTCTCTGTAACTCCAGTTCCATGGAATCCAGTGCCTATTTTTGGCCTCTACAGGGCACAGGCATGCTTTTAGTGCATAGACATACATGTGGGAAGACATCAATGCATATAAGATAAAAATAGCAAAAACTGTTAAAGTGTTCCTAAGACTAGTATGAATGCCTCTTCCTGAACCCTGTAAATACTTCTAGTGAAATACTAAAGGAGACATGGGGAAAAGTGCAACCAACAAACTAACAAGATGTGCAAATTCCAATACAGGAATGATTTAACTAATAAAAAATTTCCGATTTTATTAAGTCTTCACTTTTGAATATAGATATTTAATTTTTTGGCTTTTGTTTTTAATTAAGTTATTAATTTAATTTACATCTCAATTGCAGTTCCCTCTCTTGTTTCTCCTCTAGGGCCCCCCTCTTACCTATCCCCCCTCCCATCTATCCCTCTGCCCTTTTCTTTAGAAGAAAGGTGGCCTCCCATGGATATCAACCAGCCTTGGCATATCAAGTTACAGTAAGACTAGGCTCATCTTCTTCCATTGAGGCTAGAATTGATAGCCCAGTTAAAGGAAAGGATCCAAAGTCAGACAATATCAGAGAAGACCCCTGTTCCCACTTCAGTAGTCCCACAGGAGGACTCAGCAGCACAATTGTTACACATATGTGCCAAGGGCCTATGTCCATCCCGTGCTTGTTCTTTAGGCAGTTCAGTCTCTGTGAGCTACTCTAGGCCCGGGTTAGTTGATTCTGTAAGTTTTCTTGTGGTGTCCTTGACCCCTCTGGCTTTCTCAATCTTCCCCTGCCACTTCCAGAGGAATTGCCAATCTCCTCTTAATATTTGGCTATGGGACCCTGCAGATGTTTCCATCAGTTCCTGGTTGAATGTCTTGATGATGACATGCTAGGCTTCTGTTTTTGCGAGCACATCAGGAAGCTCATTATTTGTGTCAGTGGTCATGTTCCTCTCATGACATTTGTTTCAAACTGGACCAGTCTTTAGATGGCACATCCCTCAAATTATGCTCCATCTTTTAATCCTGTGCATCATGTAGGTAAGACAAATTTTAAGTCTAATATTTTGTGGATGGGTTTTAGTCCCAATATCTTCATTGGAAGCCTTGCCTGGTTACAGGGGATGGCTGGTTTAGGCTTTTAAGAACCCATTGATTGGAGTCTTACCTAGAGTTACTGTCATAAACCCCTAGGAATTGCTATTGTTTAAGGCTTCTACCCCATGGCTGAGATGCCTCTCCACTCCAGTTGTCTCTTCTATTTCTCTCTTCCTCCATCCTTCCTCCAACTCTTCCTTCCTGTTTTCATCCCTACCCTTTACTCTGACTCAGTCCCCTCCTTCCATTCTTTGGGATATCTATTGAATTTCTTTTTCACAGTGAGATTCATGCTTCCCTCTCGGCGCTATTTTTAAATTCTATTTTATTTTAGCTTCTTTGTGCCTCTATTGTCTTTCCACCAATACCCCAACACTATATAGGAGAGAAAGAGTGTTAGAGAGGAAAGGGGGCATAGATTTCTTAGGATATTTCTGGCTGATTTGGGTTACCTTTTGGGAAATACTAATCTCAGTTGTCAGGATTTCTAGCAGTCCATCAACTCGCAAATCAGCAAATGCTGAACCAGCAAAACCACTGGGAACAGCAGCCTTCTTCTGAAGGTCTCTTCTAAGCATCCTCTCTCTCCTTTGGAGCCTCTCTTTGAAGCCTTCTCCTTCAAAGTGTCCTTTTTGGGTGAGGGACATCTAGGCTGTTTCCAGTTTCTGGCTACTTACAAATAAAGCTGTTATGAACAGAATTGAACAAGTATCCTTGTGGTATGGTGGAGCATCTTTTGGGTATATTCCCAGAA